ATACATTTACACTTGCTTTTTTAACTTGTTTAAATTATATTATTTCAAGGCTTATTAAAGATCAATTAAAAATTTACTTTCTGTTTCAGCTGTTGTGCTATATATTCATAATACTGGTGAAGGGTGGATGTTTTATTTTTGTTAATGTCAACCTTCAGTTAAATCTCCATCCCTTTTTTTGTAATGTCTGAAAATCATATTATTAGTTCATAATCTCTTTTTGATTACTAACAATAAGCTATAAAAATTACATAAATATTTGGATATATCTTTTAAAAATACAGTGCCAAACCCTGAACTATTTAAATAAGCGGGAAACTGTACTACTTATTGTGATATCTTAGTAATGCTATTAATTAATTTAAAGCATTTTAACTTCCTAATTGAGCTAGCCGTTCTTGAAATTATTTTATAATTCTCGAAATTAATTGATTGCTAGCGCTAGTAAGCGCTCTCTTTACAATATCTTTTTTTAAAGTTTTGATAATTGTTCAGCATATATTGATTGTAACACTTGTATATGATATTGAAGTGAGTTCATTGTAATTGAGGCTCTTATATTACTGCATAATTAGTTGCTCTACGCTCAGATATTATAGTCAAGCAACTTAAATACATGTTAAATCATTACGTGCTATGTATTTGAAGATAAAAGCAATATAAATTGTATCCAAAACTGCAACACTGACTAAAAGTAAGAGCTGACGTTTTTTTACAGTCGGCTTTCCTGCTTTCTTTAAGAAGTGTAATTCATCTTGTAAGAGCTTACCAGAAATACTGTTATTTATAAATTATGTGATAAATGTGCTAACAAATGATCCATCCAATACCAATCTACAACCGCGGGTTCAGATGAATGAATCATCGTTCAAACAATTACTTAAAATTTTGTTCATAGTGTGAAAGTATCTGAATGTGTTCTATTTTAAATGGCAAAGGTGTGAAATACTCTACTTGTAGATATAGTTTCAAATGGAGATTTAGGTTTGTTTAGAACCAGATTACACTTCCTTTACATATTGATCATAGGGGCTTATTAAGACATTCTAGGTTGCCCTTTGAATAGTTCATCTATTAAATACATTGGATTAGATATTCAGAGATTTATATTTAGTAATCTCTAATACAAATTATACACTTACTATCAAAAGAGTTGCAAAGCTTCCAAATTTACTTATTGTACTTATAAATTATATATTGTTGTTGAATAACTCTGCTTAAAAATGCTTATCTCCTTATTGGAAGTGTTATTAACATTTTTGAGTTTGTATACTTTATTAGGTAAAGCCAAAAATTGGACCATTAAATGTTAGATTTGATTATACTTGAGAACATCCAAGGATGCTAACTATTTTGCTGAAAAAATTTTACTCAATGTCCAACTTAATTTATATATTACATTTGTGAAGTTGCCAAAAATACTGCAAATTATATGCAGCAGCCCTTTCGATTGCTATTAATACTGCTAATAAAAATGCTTGTGTTTTCTTGTAATGAGCATGCACATAAAGCATAACTGGGGTAATATATTGCTAATCTTGATTAAAATTTACTTTTATTTTATTTTAGCAGTCTACATTGGGGATGGAATTATTTGAGTTACTTTCCAAAGCCTTAATTTTATCACTCCTTGTTTACCATGCTACGCTGATGAAGATACCTTTAACTTGTACCTTTAAGATATTTCCTTTATGCACCTATTTATTACTTTATCATGTAGTTGTGGATATTTGATTAGACTAACAAATCTTATTGATTTTGTTTAATGTTTTACACCATATGCATATATCGAAACTCTGAGGCTGTGTGTAGATCATAGAACCATTCAAAGTATCCTTTCACTATAACGTCCCCACTATTTAACTCACTTATCATTGAAATCTCTTAATGGGTGCTCATGCTGTAATATTTAGAATTTTTGGTGGCTATTTCTTACCGTATTCATAAAAGCTGATGTCAACCGATTTCCGATAGGTAAGATACATCTCAAATTGTAGAGATATATATTTCATATTCCTTAACCATTTGTTGGCAACCTGTATATCTGGATATAATTCGATATAAACACTTATAGCAAATATAACTATCCATCTGTACCTGTAGTTAGTACTGATTGCATTCAATATGTTATTCCTTGTAAGATATATTCTACAACCGGATGGCAGGCTTTCAATGACTGTAAAACTTTTTGTCTTTAATATAAGCTTATTCTGCTTAAAGTACTTTAAATTTACCCTCAAACTTCTAAGAGTTAGTTGCATTAGATATATTGCTACTTGTTATTAAAGTCCATCCCAATGCACTACATGTTACTATCAAAACACTTACACTACTTTTGCTATTGAATACTCTGTCAAGAGTAATGATATCTCATGATAGTTAGTTTTTGCAAATCATAGCAGATTGTTAAGTGTAATAGCAACTATCTTGTACGTACCAAAGATTCATGTACAATTTACCTACCTGATATTTTTTAATTTATAATTATGTAACTTTCATATTAATGTACTGATTTTGATGGTTTGCTTTCTAAGGCTGAGAATTAATGTTAAGCATTTTCGCTTCTTGGTGCAAATTGGTTTGTTCTAGTATATTCTACTTTTCTAATAGAATGGCTAACCATATTAATAACTAGGATAAGAAGAACAACAAAATAAGTAAGAACTATTCTTTGTGAGATTATGATACAACTAATTCAGTGTTTATATGAATTGGTCAATTTTTTTTTTTTTTNACATTTTTGAGTTTGTATACTTTATTAGGTAAAGCCAAAAATTGGACCATTAAATGTTAGATTTGATTATACTTGAGAACATCCAAGGATGCTAACTATTTTGCTGAAAAAATTTTACTCAATGTCCAACTTAATTTATATATTACATTTGTGAAGTTGCCAAAAATACTGCAAATTATATGCAGCAGCCCTTTCGATTGCTATTAATACTGCTAATAAAAATGCTTGTGTTTTCTTGTAATGAGCATGCACATAAAGCATAACTGGGGTAATATATTGCTAATCTTGATTAAAATTTACTTTTATTTTATTTTAGCAGTCTACATTGGGGATGGAATTATTTGAGTTACTTTCCAAAGCCTTAATTTTATCACTCCTTGTTTACCATGCTACGCTGATGAAGATACCTTTAACTTGTACCTTTAAGATATTTCCTTTATGCACCTATTTATTACTTTATCATGTAGTTGTGGATATTTGATTAGACTAACAAATCTTATTGATTTTGTTTAATGTTTTACACCATATGCATATATCGAAACTCTGAGGCTGTGTGTAGATCATAGAACCATTCAAAGTATCCTTTCACTATAACGTCCCCACTATTTAACTCACTTATCATTGAAATCTCTTAATGGGTGCTCATGCTGTAATATTTAGAATTTTTGGTGGCTATTTCTTACCGTATTCATAAAAGCTGATGTCAACCGATTTCCGATAGGTAAGATACATCTCAAATTGTAGAGATATATATTTCATATTCCTTAACCATTTGTTGGCAACCTGTATATCTGGATATAATTCGATATAAACACTTATAGCAAATATAACTATCCATCTGTACCTGTAGTTAGTACTGATTGCATTCAATATGTTATTCCTTGTAAGATATATTCTACAACCGGATGGCAGGCTTTCAATGACTGTAAAACTTTTTGTCTTTAATATAAGCTTATTCTGCTTAAAGTACTTTAAATTTACCCTCAAACTTCTAAGAGTTAGTTGCATTAGATATATTGCTACTTGTTATTAAAGTCCATCCCAATGCACTACATGTTACTATCAAAACACTTACACTACTTTTGCTATTGAATACTCTGTCAAGAGTAATGATATCTCATGATAGTTAGTTTTTGCAAATCATAGCAGATTGTTAAGTGTAATAGCAACTATCTTGTACGTACCAAAGATTCATGTACAATTTACCTACCTGATATTTTTTAATTTATAATTATGTAACTTTCATATTAATGTACTGATTTTGATGGTTTGCTTTCTAAGGCTGAGAATTAATGTTAAGCATTTTCGCTTCTTGGTGCAAATTGGTTTGTTCTAGTATATTCTACTTTTCTAATAGAATGGCTAACCATATTAATAACTAGGATAAGAAGAACAACAAAATAAGTAAGAACTATTCTTTGTGAGATTATGATACAACTAATTCAGTGTTTATATATTTATTAAATTTGTATATTGGATAAGAGGGGAGATTAAAAAAGAAAAAATGAATTGAATCAATTTGATAACTCAAACGTAGTGAAGTACGGAATACAATCAATTTAGCAATCTATAATTTTTATTCTTTGATTATGAGCTTATGGTGATTAAATTTTCGTTAATTTTCAATACTTAGATGTTTGCCAGTTAGGACCTTCCTAATAGGCGAAATTATTAATTATCATGTTTGAATTGAAAAGTTGGGTATTTTAATAATAAGATAAATTTCATATTTTTAATATAAACGTGAAACGAAATTTGGAATAGATAAAGATTGAATCTCAATAAAAAATGAAATAATTAACTTCATTTCAATAAGTTTTAAGTCGAATAATTATTGATACAAGTAAGGAATGTTATTTAATGACATTTTTCAAGAAAAAAATCTTAATTTTTAATAGATTATGTTAGAATTTTAAGAAACTTAACAAGACATGTCATTTAAATGTTATTTAAAATATAAACAAAATCAAAAAATAAAGAATTTTCTCTCAAATCAATAAATACAATTCTATCTAAGCTTAGATTTGAAATTACAATTGAAACTTCAATTTAGTTATTCTTAACACTGTATAAAATAATCAAAAGATTAAACCTTTTAGTTATAATGTATTGTATTAATATCGATATTAATTTTCCGCTAACCATTCTGACTAATTATAAGTCAAAAATGTTTTAACATAAGGAATATTTTATCTGATATTGACTTATGAAAAAAAATATAAAAATTGAAATTGCAAAGTATATTTTAATGACTGTTTAATGATTATCAATTATTTTGCTATTAATGTTGGTGTTCTAAAATCAAACTTCCTTTAGATTTAAATAATAATCTTAAATCATATCCTTTGTAATCAAATAATTCTCCTTTCAATATTAAAGCTCCTTTTGCTTCTAACGTGGGATTTTAACATAGTCTTAGTATTGTAGGATCAAAGTAGGCTAAAAAATAAAATTAATAAACACCATTGTATAAAATGAATTGGCTAGATAGCGGCAATTTAAGCGAAGATAAAAGAGCTTTGTAGTAATTATCTTGAGGTAGAAGCTCTTTTGTTGACTTAACATCCCAAAAACGGACAGAGCTATCATAACTACCAGATGCTAATATAGTACCATCAGGAGAGTAACAAATTGTTCTTACTTAATCTGAATGACCATCTAATTTCGCTTTTTATTATCCTGTCTCAACATCCCATAAACGGATAGACTTATCTGAACTACCAGATGCTAATGTAGTACCATCAGGAGAGTAACAAATTGAATTAACACAACTTGAATGACCATCTAATTTTGCTTTTTATTATCCTGTCTTAACATCCCATAAACGGGCAGAGTTATCATGACTACCAGATGCTAATGTATTACCATCAGGAGAGTAACAAATTGAATAAACTGCTCTTGAATGACCATCTAATTTGGCTTTTTATTACCCTGTCTTAACATCCCATAAGAAGATAGAGTTAAAATAACTACTAGATGCTAAAGTAGTACCATCAGGAGAGTAACAAATTGAGCTAACACAATTTAAAAGACCATCTAATTTGGCTTTTTATTCTCCTGTCTTAACATCCCATAAACAAATAGACTTATCCCAACTACCAGATGCTAATGTAGTACCATCAGGAGAGTAACAAATTTAACTAACTACACTTGAATGACCATCTAATTTGGCTTTTTAATATCCTATCTTAACATCCCATAAACGGACAGAGTTATCATGACTACCAGATGCTAATGTAGTACCATCAGGAGAGAAATTGACTGAATAAACTATCCTTGAATGACCATCTAATTTTGCTTTTTATTATCCTGTCTTAACATCCCATAAACGGATAGAGTTATCGTAACAACCAGATGCTAATGTTGTACCATCAGGAGAGAAATTGACTGATAGAATTCCACTAGAATGACCATCTAATTTGCCTTGTTATTATCCTGCCTTAACATCCCATAAACGGACAGAGTTATCATAACTACCAGATGCTAATGTAGTGCCATCAGGAGAGAAATTGACTGATAGAATTCCACTTGAATGGCCATCTAATTTGATTTGTTATTATCCTGTCTTAATATCCCATAAACGGACAGAGTTATCTACACTACCAGATGCTAATGTAGTGCCATCGGGAGAGAAATTGACTGATAGAATTCCACTTAAATGACCATCTAATTTTGCTTTTTATTATCCTGTCCTAACATCCCATAAACGGATAGAGATATCTACACTACCAGATGCTAATATTGTACCATCAGGAGAGAAATTGACTGAATAAACGATCCTTGAATGTCCATCTAATTTTGCTTTTTATTATCCTGTCTTAACATCCCATAAACGGACAGAGTTATCATGACTACCAGATGCTAATGTAGTACCATCAGGTGAGAAATTGACTGAATAAACTATCCTTGAATGACCATCTAATTTTGCTTTTTATTATCCTGTCTTAACATCCCATAAACGGATAGAGTTATCATAACTACCAGATGCTAATGTAATACCATCAGGAGAGAAATTGACTGAAGTTACAATTGATGAATGACCAATCAATTTAGAAAATTATTTTCCTGTTTTAAAATTCCATAAATACACAAATTTTTTGCAGATGAAAGCTAATGTGGTATTATTAGGTGAGAAGCATACTGATTTTACCTTTTCATATCCTGTGATTCTTGACTTTATTTTTCCAGTTTTAACATCCCACATAATAATAGAATTATCCTCGCTACAAGAAGCTAATGATTTACCATTTGGATGAAAGCAAACTTAATTAACTTTATTGCTATGGCCAATAAACTAAATCCCCTCATTTATCCTTATATTCCTCCACTTACAATTAAATAATTTAGCTTAATTCAAATTCACTCCACTGATAATGACATTGTCCAATTCTGACCCACTTAAGTCACATCTTACCAAATTCGCGCCTATTAAGGAAGTATTTCTTATTCTAATGTTCTCAAAACATTATTCTCTCATATCAACCTTCATTTAAACTAGCACATGAAAAGAATTTGATCCACACCAAATATATTTATCATCTAATGCTGTAAGATGGACTAAAAATTTGAGAAATTCTATAATTTTCTTACCACATTATATTTTTGTGATCAGATCCTTTTTTATTTCTTCATAATCATCCATAGAGTAATTCTGTTTATTAAATTCATGATCCCGAATTTTTTTGAGAATATCCATTATTTTCTTAATGTTTCTCTCCCTATTGAGAGTCTATTCTTTATCAAGCAAAGATAAATTATCTACCTGTTATCTTTCTATTTCTAAAAGGAATTAATTTTAATCTTATGAGAGAAATTCTAAGCAGTCTAAAATTTTCTCTTTTTTTAATGTGTAAATGAGGATAGAGAAGACTTCTTCATCAACATCTTACAATAAAGCCAAAACATTAAGCAACTCTCCAACTTACTCTTTATCCTAATACATTTTTTTTTTTAAATTAATATTGAATTTCCATTACTAAAGTTTGAGTTTTATATTACAAAATCAGAAAGTATATTATATTAAATTTTTTGGAAGAAATATAAACGATTTTGAATTGTATAAGGGAAACTCACAAAACCTTGTACATAATTGAATTCTTAAAATATAGAATTAAAAAAATCATCAACAACATCTGATAATCACCAAGATCTGCATTTATGATTCAACATTCTTATATTCAATTTATTACTTGCAAGTATTTTAATCTTTGGTATTGAATTACAGAAACTCACAGAGGGTTAAACTTGAGGATTTATGTCAAGTTGACAAAATGAAACTTTTTTAAAAGCAAATTTTTAACTTAATCAGGCTTGTATTTAAAATTACTCTCACTTTTGACTGATATAAATATTATTTCTTCAAATTATTATATAAAGTTTTCTGATGATCGAATATCTCTTTCTCAGTTGAAGAATTTTGCAATCAGACATTATATTTATATATTACAAAAATGATTTAGTTAAATCAACATTAACAATTAACAAAATAGTTTTTAAATTTAATATTTTACATTTTAAATGGTATATTAATAAACATCATTTTTGTTTCTATTTTAGTACTTTCTCTAAAATTAAACAACCTTTAGAATTAAATAATGATCGTAAATCATATCCTTTATGTCTACAAACTCTCCTTTCAATATTAATGCTCCTTAGGCTTCCAAATTGTAATTCTGGGAAATTTTTAGAAAGGTAATATATGAAGAAGCGAATAATAGTGAAATATAATATACTGCTTTCTGTAAGAACATTATTTTAAATTTTTGAAGGTTTCAATTTTTCTAGAATATCTTTATAGCGAGCATCGGAAGGAAAGATATCTTATCATAAACTGATAGAGTTATCTCCACTACCAGATGCTAATGTAGTACCATTCGGAGAGAAACAGACCGAAAAATCATAATCTGAATTACCATCTAATTTATTTAACTCAAGTGTTTTGATGTTTTTTTTTATTTATAATTAAACAATTAAGTTTAATTCAAGTTCATTCCTTCATCAATGGCTATTAACCCAACTAAGAACTTCATAAATTCAATTATGTAATAATCATAAGGTATTTATTTTACTAAGCCCTTTCTAATTTAATCATAGTTCTTTGGTTGAATTTTTCTTCTTATTATAGTCTATTTCATAAATATTTTTGAGAGCATTATGAATACAATTTGACTAAGGTTGCTCCCTTCACCTATTATTTGATAGATATTCAAGGTAATTCGTTATTTTTTCCATCTTTATCAAATCCATATCTCATTGATGAATGATTTATCAGTATTCTTTGACTGTGATAATACTGAATACAAATCTTCCTTCTTTCAAATAGTCATTATCTTCTCCATTAACCTTTCTTAAAACTACTTATACCCACCTTCTACTCAACTTATAAGTTACTCAAATAGTAATTTTTCACATCAATCCAATCATTTATATTTTCCAATTCTAAAATTGGTCTCATTAATTCTAAATCAGAATAACAGGATTGAGCTATGTTATATTTGTGTTGATAAGACGAGAATATGATTTATTATTATTTTTAATCAAATCACATATTTAATTGATTGATTCGAATAATTATTCAAACATTTATTTCATAATGATTTAGGTTTGAGAGAGCATCAATTTAAAGTTATTTTTCTATTCATTAATTGAAATGCATATTTGATATCCACTTAGTGTTAAAGAAGGAATTTACACACAGTCTCCTTTAACATGAACATTCGTGGGGAGCAACACATATCAGCAATACTTTTTCTTCAAAATGATATGTACTCTTCATTCTTTTTTAATTATATTATTGAATTTCTATTACTTTATATTGAAATTTATACAAAACAAAAAGTATCTAAAAATTATATTTTCTCATATTAACAAATATTCAACCATTTAAAACAATTTTTGCTTCGAACAATATTACTTCTGATATATTTTTACATTTTTCAAGTTACAAGACTTAGTTTAAGAATAGACAACTAACGAATCAGTCAACATTTGATTTTCTAGGTTATTTACCGTTTGTCAGTTGTCTTAAAAGAACTTTTTTTTTGATTTTATAATAAATAACTTATTGAATTGTGTTGTTTGAACATTGTAAAGATCAAACTTTTAGTTTTCAATAATAATTGCATATTTATCTAATCATGAAAAAAATTACAGATTTTCATCTTTGACCCAAAAAGCGTTAAACCTTGGGATCTATGTCAAGTTAAATAGTAACACTTTTTCCAAATGAAATTTTTTTTAAAGCAAAATTTAACTTAATTAAGCTGAGGGTTTGGTCAAGACTGGCATATATGACTGACCCTAAGAAGCCAGTAATATGGTCGGGAGCCATGACAAAATATGTAATTTTGAAGAGCCCCAATTAAAAATCCCTATTTGATGATGGGATAGGCAATGAAATAGGCGATGAAATAATACAGGTGATAAATCGGGGATGAAATAGATGATGAAATAATAAAGGGGATAAAATATGGGATGAAAAATGTAATGAAATATATGTTGAAATAGGGGATGAAATTCATGTCATTATATAGGAGATGGAATAAACAATGAATAGGTGATGGAATTAGTGATAAAAAAGGCAATGAAAAATATTTGATGTTTTATGTGATGAATTAAGTAATTATTCAGAAATTCTATTGGAGATGATATTGGGGTGAATTCAAAGTATAAATGTGTAAAATAATTAGGGGATTAAATGAATAATGTTAAAGGAATTACTATTATTAATTCCAATCATAGTTAAACAGAATATTATATTCTAAATATCATTTAAACACTTCCAATTAAGAAGTCATGAGAAAAATTGGGGATGAAAATAGGTGGTGAAATATGAAATACTTAAATTTTCAATTTTTTGAAATTATTCAAATTTAAAGTTATATGACTGAAATCTAGTTCTCAATAATGCTAAATTGAATGAACTGAAATTCTTCTTAATAACCTTTATTTTATAAAATTGCAGATATGAAGAGCTTTGGTCTCGAAATTTAGAGACTGACAGTTTAAAATCGAACTAAACTTTTTAACCTAAAAAAATCCAATTTTTTCTTACCTATGTTCTCAAAATCAATATAGACTAAGCCTGAAAGTTGAGCGAAAAATAAGAAATAAATACTTTTCCATCAACAATCTTGAGCCATATCTTTGAAATTCAAAGTGAGTGAGTGGAGGTCCATTATTTGAGCTTAAAATCAAAATAATTACGTTCCCCATATTATATAACTCTTTAAACTACATCCAGATTTAGCAAACTAGTATTTCGACCAAAAAAAAGCACACCTTTGAAACTCTTCCTGTAAAATTACAAGCTAACAGATATTTAATTCATATTTTTAGAATTGGTGCTGATATCTAAACTGTAAGCTTTAAAAACATACTACTTTAGAATCCTTAAGAAAAATATTGTGGGTCCCTGACAAACAAATTTTATATACTGTTTGTTTCCAAAAATTAAATACTTTTTAAAATGATTTGCTGTTTGTTAAATCTAATCCTGATTTTACGTTCATTGCAGCATGAATCATTATTAATGCAGAAGAACTACCTACCTAAGTTTAATCGCTTATATCATGACTCTTCATTATACCATCTTCTACCTAGTATTAAATTATAAGCTAACAACACTAAAATCATGCTACTAACTTAGGAGCTTCCATCCAAATACTCATACTTGAAATAATATACAACTTTAGGACCCATCAGAAATATATTATGAATGCTATAAAAAAAAATATCTTTAATTTATGTTTCCGAAATTTAAAATATGATAAAAACAATTTATTTCTTTTGAATCAGAACATGATTCTACGTTCAACGCTTAGTAAGTTACTTCTTAAACATAAACCCTATGGTCATGATTTTTCGATTTAGCATCTGGGTGTTTGGATATTAGATGTCAGTCTAAGATGTA